CATGTGCATAGCGTCTTATATTATCGGTCTCCGTCCACGTTGGTCTCCACAACTTAATATTGAAATTATGATACTATTCAAGTTTGTTTTGAACATCATCCTTGGATTATAAAAACGTTAAATTCTAATTGAAAAGGTTTAATGGATAGGTGATTTATAATAACGTTGGCAGGGCTCCTGATTTCCATTTCCCTTGAGTTTCTGCTTTTATTTCACTACAGACTTCTTGGCCCATGTTATCATGGCTAGGCCTTTTACTGAGGGTTTCTGCCGTCAGCTAAAAAGGCCCAGAACGTGTTGCCCCCGTTTTCAGATCACAACGTTAAAAATTTGAATGGTTGAGATTTTTTATTAGTAAAGTTTAATATCACGTCTTGTTTTTGCATTGATTTATGATGGTGTTTCTTGTTGGTTAAAAATTTTGATTTTTTTTTTCTAAATCATCCAAGTGGAATCCATTTTTTGCCTTGTGACAGTTCATCTAAAAAAATATCAGTATTTTTCAGTTTTAGTGAATGTAGATATTTAAATAGAAAAAAATCAAAACCTAAATAATTGTATTTAAATTTACCAGCTGGCACTCAAACAAAAATAAATAAATAAACAAATAAAATTAGACATTCAAATTAATATTTTCTTTATATAATAGAGCATATGTCGACAATGAGATGTATCTAAGTATTAACTCCCGTAAAAACCCTTATCCGTAACGCGACGTGTATTAGAATAATTATATATATATATGTATATTAAGAGTAAGTATAATTATCATTTCATCATGAGAAATTAATGCTTGAAATATGTGATTATGTTAAATTAAAGTTATTGTGCTTAAGATTAATGGTTTAATTATTAAAGAAATCAAATATGCAAAATCGGTGTTTTAAGGACTATATTCTGCCCGAGTTTTGTGTGAATTATTTGAGGACTTTAAGGTAATTTTTGGGTCAACCTTAAAGAATGAAAGTTGTTCATCTATGTGTTGAATAAATCTGTATAAAATTTTATAATATTTAGACCTATAAATTAAGAGTTATATCAATTATAATGAGGGTTGTTTCGAAATGCATTCTGCTGGAATTTTAGGAGAAGAATCGTCCGAATCTTGTGAGATTTATTTGATGCTGTTAGATTGATTTTTGAGAAAATCTTAAAGAATAAAAGTTGTTTTTTCTATGTGTTTAATAGCTCTATATAAAATTTTATAATTTTTTGATACATATAGAAAGAGTTATGCACATTTTAGTATAGATGGGTTAGGAGGAAACAACTGCTGGAATTTTGGGGGGAAAATAAATTTCGAATTTTTAAAAATGGAAATTTCCAAATTTTTATGAAAGAAATTAGTTTTAGTTACTTGAATTAAGTTAATTAATGATTTTAATTAGTCTAAATTTTATATAGAAACCTAACTAAATGCAATAAATGAATTTAATGCCAACTCACCCATTATGGATTCCAAAGCGACTGACTTTCCTCATGACTCACCCATAACCTTTACACCTTATCCCATTAATTTCTAACACTTGTAGCTGAATGAAAATAAGTATATATATATATATAGCAAGTGTTAAAATAGGAGAAAAATTTTAGTAACCCAGTAGGTACCAGAAATTGAGAGAGAAAAGGCAAGAAAGAAAAGAGAGGAAGAAAAACGTGAGGAGAGAAAGGAAAGGAAAGAAAAGAGCTAAGAAAACTATAATCAAACCTAATAGAGGTAAGTAGGTTTCATTTTTTTGGCTTATTAGTGTCTTAAATTATTTTGTTTAAGTTATTTTGTTAGTGTTTATTTCATGGGTTGTAATAATTTTCAATGGTTATATGCTTGATGCTTGGGATAAATCTATGTATGGATGCCTTGTTGTGATGATTTGTGATGTTATGATTTTTTGAAAAATGTCCAAGTATGTGGTGATGGGTTGGATTGAACTTGGACTAAATTTAAGTGAAATAAAACATGTTTAAAATTGTCTTGGAATGAACTAATAAATTAGTGTTGATAAGGAGTCAATTTTGTCCGAATTTGGGGTGTATGTTCAAGGATTTTAGATCGGTTTCTAGGTGAAACTTAAAGCATAAAAGTTGTTCATCTATGTTTCAACTAACTTCCTTTAAAATTTCTTGGTCATTGGATTCGTGTACAAAGAGTTACACCCGATTTAGTATGGATAGCTCTAGATAAACTACTATTAGGAAGATTGCTCCCTAAGTTTCAAAAATTTGTAATTAATTATGCACTTGGTATTTAGACCTAATTTTTGGATATGTTATAAATAAATATGTCTAGTATCTAAAATAAAATGAGTAAGATTTAATTATGTTCTGAAATTAGAAAATTATTTACTCGATTAGGAGTTGCCCGGTAATAAACCCTAAAACAAAAAAAATTAGACTTTAACAAAATTAATAGGTTTGGAATAAACTAAATGAGCTTGGACTAAATAAAATGGAATTAAATAGAGTCAATGGACCTAGGATAAAGTTAATGGGATCGGATTAAAGTAAATGGACTTGGACCTTCTTTTAAATATTAATGAAACTAATGAACAATATTAATGAGCGGAGATTGTGTTCTCGCTGTGGGTATCATGATTGGTATGTGAGCAATGGATAATTTCGAGTGTGGGTTGGACCATGAGTATGGCATGAGAATGAAGGGTTGGTACCCAAATTTGGTTGAATGTGATTAGATATGTCATCACGTGCATCATGTGCATAGTTGGTGGTTTAAGACAAGTCAATTGATTGAGAAATAGTTTATACATCTAGGTTTGATAACCTAAGCTGAAATAAATGGGTATTAGTAGTCCAGTACTCTAGGATGTGTGCCTGCACTATTAGACGATGGATTTTCGCTAATAGTAGTTACAACGAGGGATAATTCCATTGTAGCGAGAAGATGATCCGAGGATCATCTGGATGAAATCAAGTCTGTGTGCTTGCACTTTGTTAGACGATGGATTCTCGCTAACGGTAGTTACAACGAGGGATAATTCCGTTGTAGCAGAAGGTGATCCGTGAACCACCGGATGATAAATAGAGTAGGCGGCTAATACCCGGGATACCCGAGATTAAAATTTATGAGTATGGTGGGAAGTCAAAATAACATTGTATATCACGTGCATCACCCCGCTTGCCGAGTTTCAGCTCACCTCGTTGTTATTTTTTATGTCTTGACGAGAAAAAGGACAAGTTGATACGGATGCGGTGGCTCCTCCTAATCGGCTCATGTGAGGCACCATATACTAGTTTTTATTTTGTACGTAAATTTGAGGTATGGAGTTTGTGAGAAATTGAATATCGCTCGTAATGTTTTATTAATGTATTTAATTATGTTATGTAAATTTTATCGTAAGGAATTATATACGTAATGTACTATTAAAATCTTAAGAATATTATAAGAAAACTACTTAGAGTTTAGGGTATGTCGGCGTAACGCGCTTCGTCCGATACCCTACTTAGGTAGTAGAAATATGACTAGAGCGAGGGCGTTACACAAACTATATGGACATCTAATTATTTTATCATGTATTTAAATTTAAGAGAAAACTATTGAAAAACTAAGCTACAAGCATTGGAAAAGGCAATGTAGTTGTCTTATCCGATTCCGATATAACTAAATGCATTTAGTATATAATTTTTATGATTCGAATTCATTAATCTGTTTATTAAATGAATCAAATACATATGTACCTCAATTTGATCCGATAATAATTCAATCTAATATTAATAATAATATAATTTTTAATAAATATGATATTTTAAAACATAAAAATTTTTAAATAAAAAATTATTAACGGTGCTAAGTTTAAATTTAGAGGTTATTTACTCTAAACGATAAAAAAAATATCTTATGAAATGTTTTATATTTATATTTTTTTCCTACATTGATTATTTTTTCAAACAATTACACGAAAAGTATGTCATCATCTATTTTGAAAAAAAAAATGATAAATCAGATGAATAATCAAATCGATCCAAATTAGGCAAAATCTGAATTAACAATCACAAAACTCAAATTCAAATTCATAAAATCTTATTGGATTTATTTATTAAATAAATTAAATTTGAATATATTATCATCTATCCGGACAGATGCGCTGACAGCCTTTCTTGTTAATGTCAGTTCAATCCATAACAAATAGGCGATGGAGATGAATAGCCGTTTTTTATGCTTGATAGCAACGGATCCATATTCAAAGTTGTTTTTGCAATATGCGAATAACATACGAACGAATAGTCATTTCTACTCAAAAGCTGCTGCTGGTCAGTGGCCAGTGGTGTTAAGAAGAGTAATGTGTTCCACATGGGACTCCCCTGCCTAAAAACGGGAAAGACAACTAAAAATGAAACTTTTTGGCCAGCCAATCATGTCTTCCTCCTCTTGGACGGTGGAGTCGCACCGCTTCATCTCTATAGCCAGGTCTTCCTGGTCTGTTGAGGAGTGCGGTGAAATCAACAACTGCCTTGTCTCCCCAAATGCGTGTAGTTTAGATTATTTCCACGACCTACTTTAGGCAAAAGAATTACAAGAATTTGGTTCTGAAATATCCATTACAAAACACAGCAAATGAATTCCTGCTCATGAGGACAAATTGATAAGTGATGACTTCTTATTACAAACTTTCCTGTTTCTTTATGACAACACATCCTTCTATAATGATAAGAACCAGTAAGCAGTACCCCTCTTGCTTCGCAAACCCTTATAGCAAGCATGGTTGAATTATACAAGGAACAAAAAAATCACGGTTCAGTTACAAATCAAGTTGGTGGATGTTCTACATTACTGCTGTAATAATAACACTAAGGCCTTAGGTTACAACCTAGAGCAATACAAAGCTTGAGGCAGGTTCATCTATCTACTAGATAAGATGTCTCCCTATCTTGCTCACCAGTACTATAAAAGACAAAAGAAAGCAGGCTAACCACTGATAAACCACAAGCGGTTACTTAGAACATGGTGATGGCGTCCGATATTTTCCCAACTTTCCTCCATCATTTCATATAGGCATGCCCTTTGGGACAATTTGATCTTTGAGCCACATGTAAATTGGAACCAGAATATAGTATGTTGCTGCCATGGCCCCAAGAATGAATCGCATGAAGAACACCAATGGATTCACTGGCTTCTTAATATCCTCTGCCTTTGGACCAAGCTGTATCAAAATACACATTCATGAGTCATCAATTTTACGGAGAAATGAAGCCAGGATGTATCAAGACACAATTCATGAGTCATAAATAAAATCTTTATAAGAAAGTTGTTTCAAAATGATAAAATGGAAAATAATCGACGCAATGCATAAAAAACAAAACTTCAAGTTAGCTGACCCTGTCCCTGTATATGACTACTACAGTTTAAGCAGTCTTGTCTTATCATAAGAATGATCCTCATAGATTGCTTTCTTAGAGCATTTTCAAAAAAGAGAGAAATCTCCGGGATAATAAAAGTTCAATGAAAGTAGAGCTTTTTGGTTCAATGCAAAACCCATATAGTCTCACCGCATCACATTCCTCAAAAATCTGAACTTTCGATGAAATGACCTCCCTTTTCTAATTGTCAACAGAGATGGAGGAACAGAACCTAATGCTCTCATACTTCCTGACAATTTTAATACAAGAGACAAGCAGAAAATCATCATCATAGTTATTATGAGAAGGAAGAAAGAAAACTGAAAGCTAATTACTCCAATTTGTTTTTCCCCAAATGGTTTTGCTATTATCCTCCCCTGCTTAAATTTTGATGCTTCGGAGCATTGCAGGGGAAAATCTAATCCATTTACTTACTCCAATAGATGTTGACTCTGCTAGCAAACATGTGTTCATAAACTGGAAACTATGTCACATCAGCCATATTGAATGATTCACCAATATGTGTCCTTTATTTGATGCTCATAGCAAGCAGTAGAAACTAGCCAGCATCCAGGAACAATTTCATGGTTACTTCAGAAAATGATTTGCATTTGAAGCATCATTATCAAATCTACAGGCAGATAACATGTCTCTTTGTCCCCAACCCTCAAAAAGTAGAATACAAATGCAAAATACAAAGTGGAATAGTAAATCATTGTCCAAGCTACAGTGTGGATTAGTGAATCATAATGCAACAGCCGAACTGCATTAAAAAACAAAAGCATCACTATTTCAATCCGATGCTTGTTAGCCATCAAGACCCCACGCCATACTACTTTTCAATTCTAGCAAAATCCTGGATTTCTTGGACAACAATCAAAATACTCGATAATCAAAATCCTGGTCCTCTTATGTGTTTATCAATTGCCATGCAATTGATATAGTGACCATAAAAAGCAAAACAAGGAACCAAAACTACGGTTTGTCTCAGCAAAAATTCATATTTACCATATTAAGAGATAAGTATGTCACCTGCAGCGGAGAGTCTCCTGATAATGGCTTTACACCAGTCACAGAGCAACCCATGATCAAACCATGCCGACGGACACCACGATACCATTTTGGACCAATCCTTTTCAGTTTAACATCTTTAAATCCAGCCTTTTTGAACCATTCAATGTACTCTTCCTCTTTTGGGAAGAGCATCCACACATCCGCAAAAAATCGAGACAGCCAAAAGGTTGGGTAGACGGGACCTATAATACACGCTTTCCCTCCTATTTTCAGCACCCTGTATGCTTCTTTGATGCCACGTTGGGGATCCGGCCAGTACTCAATACTGGGATGCACAATCACAGCAGAATACGAGATACAACGTATTTAGAAACTTAACTTGAAAATGGCCATTATGCACAAAACTGACTCTTTCCTTCAGAAACAAAGACATAAACATTTCATACCAGTTCAATAAAATAACAACGTAACTGATGGTAATAGCCTCAAATTAAACATCACAGCTAATATATCCGGGTATCTCAGCAACTTTACCTTCCAGCGGATACATAACGATCTGCATAATCAGTAGGGAAGGGAAGATCCTCAGCATCCCCTTCAACTATCTTGCATTCCTTCAAGGCTTCCTTCTTCTTAGCCTTAGCGAGCTGGTGAGGCGACTGGTCTAGAATTGTAACATTCTTGGCATCTACATGTTTAACAATACCCAAAGTAGTGAACCCAGTACCACCACCAACATCTACCACTGTCATCCTCCTATCATAGAGGTCAGCAGGCTCAAGTGCCTCATCCCTCATGTCCTCAGTCCAATGACCAGGGTTTATGACATGATCATACACTATAGACAGGAATCTATAGAGCCAAAATGCCTCTTTCTTGTGTTGTATGAACCTAGGCTGAGAAGCAGGCCTTACAGATGATATAGAACACCTGGGTGCTAAGATTCTTGAATATTGATTCCCATTTTGGCATGGTACTAGATTTTTTGAGGGAAAACAACTAACATGAAAATTTAAACCTACAAAGCCTAGACCAGATGGGTTTGTGGGAACAATAAAGTTGACATTTTGAGGTCCTTTGAGCAATGAAGGAGCCATGAAATGGTAAATGACAGAAAATCCAACGAGCAAAGCTATTTCTTTCAACGGTAATTAGGAAGATTATTTCAAAACTGTGGAAAGTGAAGCACAAGGATTCAATGCTTAATCACTTCGATTTGTGGCAGTTCAATGGAAAGGTAAGATGATGTGATTCTAATGAATACCGTGTAAAAGGAAAAATGGCTTACCAATGTTTTTGTAACACTGAGACAGAATTGGATTGGAGGAAGAGAGAGAATTGGGTTCGAAGAAACTCAAAAAAATATTTTTTTGATAACAATTTAATTCCCTTTGTGTGTATTGAATTGGCACCACAAATCGTGCTTCTACTGTTGTACACTCGCTACTGGCTACTGATGGATGGGCTGTTGTTTTCATTTGTCAGCTCTCCCACGCCCACCTCAGTTTTTTGAAACGGCAGCGTATATTACTTTTTTTTTGTCAATTACTTGGGCATCCTCGATTTTTTTTTTAATTAAAAAAAAAAAAAACTTGAACCTGAAGGGCTGATCCAATGGTTAAAAGAAGTTATCTTCTTTATTTTGTAAATTCGAACATTGAGAATGCATTCCTAAAATTGTTCCCAAAGAAAATTAATTTCGCACAAACAAATACATTTTTTTTTTAATTATATATAAAAAAAAACTTTTCTTGTTTGGAATTCGATTAAAAGATAAAAAGGGAAGCCAATAGCTGTTATAATAGTTTTTGAAAATTTAATTTGACATTATGATAATCTTTTAAATCACTCTTTAAGTTATTACGAAAATATACTAATTAAACAAATGAATTATATTGATATACATACATATTTGAGATTGAATTATATTGCAAATATAAAATTACTATAGCTGAATTACTAATTCCCAAATTTCAAACTAGATACCCTAATCCTCCTTTTCTAATCGCAATCGCCTGGGCCACACAACTTTCCTTTACTTACAGTTATGGTATATACATACAGAAAACTATAGGATATTTCTAGTAAGAAGAATACCAGTAGAACTGAAGAACACTAATGTGTTTTTATTAAATGCAATGAAAACCGAATATGAAAACAAAGAAATGCAAGAATGATTACAGAGAAGAATGAGAGAAATACAGAAAGACAGATTCAATGCAAATGATCCAAGATACCTCACTGTCTGAGATTCACAGCTTATATACCAGAATCTAGCTCACTAACCAACTGATTTGTAACAGAATGCTAACTGATTCTAATTGACTCTGACTAACTTGTAACTCCCTCTAATTCGTGGCTTGTTAGTTAAGAAATGCCAGCCTGTCTTCAAGTCACTCCATACCAACTAACCAGTCCTCCAGCTCAGCTTGCCACATACAAGCTCATCCACTTCAGCACTGTTATTTGAATCCTCATTTCCCTCTCTGGTCCCAGGTAGGCTTACAAGAGAATGTTGAGAATTTTGCCTGGTATCAGATATTTGGGGTGACGACCTAATTATTCAATCCAAGCCACAAGAAAATTGAATAAGCTTATCCTCCCAAATTCTTCTTAGAATTCTTCCACACTCCCTGGCCTAACACGAAGGTAGATAGATGAAAACAATCAGTTTCCAATACACTAGACATTCTGCCTCTGCAAATCATCTCGTTAGTGATATCTCTCTAATATTCGGTGGCATTATCATCTCTTCCAGTGCTTGAAGTCCCATTGCGTTAGATTAAGACAGCTGTTGATCTCAAACCTGCATAATTTTCCTAAAAACTTCTGTCAAAACCTCCAATGCGTATACGATTATGAAAGAGGGAAAAAAATAATGAATCATAAAAGGTGGGGGTCGTCCCTTAAGAGATTATTGTCCATCTAGCTAAAGCTGCAGAGTGGGCCTTCGACCATCTCGTGCGATGCGGAACTCTCGGTCCGAGCACGCAGGGCCCCTTCCCGGCCCCGCGTGCGCTGCAGAGCAGATCCTTTCTCTGTAGATCACTAAAAGCCTTTCATAACCAATATAACCTTTATATATATATATAATTGGAGCCTTTTTTTCCCTCTCTATCTGACTACAGAATTAAGCAAACACTGACTCCATTCTATTACAATTTTTAGACAAGCAACCACGAACTCAACGTATTTATGGTACATGTCAGGAAGCAACTGCTAAATCATGTCCAAGCTCCTCGGCCTCCTCCCCTAGTATTTACAATTCCAAGACCACGAGTCTTCTTAACTGGTTTACTCAACTAAAATACAGGGTGTCGATTAGGGATTGGATATAAAGGTTTGAAATTTAGGAATTAGGGATTGTAAATTTGATTGCAGATCAAAGAATGAGGGAAGATAAAAAAAATAGCTATAACGAATTGGAGAGAGAAGGGGATTTTTAGTTTTAATAATTAAGAATTGAATTCTATTTTCCTAGCCTAGTTTTAGATTTATTATTTGTTTAGTTATTTAAAATTTATTAGAAAATTTTTTATTTTCAATAAAACTCAATTTGGGTCCATCATGACACGTGGTAAATTGTTATTGGCTATAGTTTGTCACGTGTATTTACGTCGCATATTAGGGTCCGAAACAACAATAACATAAAAATACAACTCTTAAATTGGACGAGAAAAAAAAACTTACATTTTGAATATAAAAAAATCAAATTGTACAAAAGTTCAATATACGTAAAACCTTATATATATATATATATATATATATATATATGGATTTGACGTCTCTTCCTACTACTACATTGGAGGGACTTATAACTAGGTAGGGTTATGGAATTAGAATTGTCAACAGATTGTACTCGAATCAAATTATAGTAGATGTAGATTTGGTCGTTTAGTAAAACGGATCAGATTGAATCTTATAAATTCATATTGGTTTTGAAAATGTGAAATCGGATCTAGAGCCTAATGGACTCGGATCGAATTCGAGCTCCGTTGGATTTATCACTTGATTTTTGTAAAATCTTTATGCTTACTATATTTCATATATTGCTTAAATATAAAATATATTTTAACCACTATATGTATAATAATATATATTGATATACTATTTCATTTATCAATTTTGTAAAAATTTTAAAATGCCACACAATTCAAAATTACAAAATCAAATAATTTTAATAAAAATTTGTCTTGAATTAGGCGAGAAAATATGATAAAACTAAAAATAATAATAATAAATAATCTTTATTTCTCGTCCATATGGTAGAAAAAATAGAGTGATAACAAACACAACAACACAAACTCTTGAAAATATAAATAAGTCAATTTCAAAATTTTTTCACGAAATTGAATTAAGAGAATGACTAGAAATTTATATGTGATTTTTTGAAAATACATTTATTGTTGTGGAATGATATGCCTCTTTTGAACTTTAGAATAAATAAACTCTATATTTCAATCTAGTTTCATATTTATATATTTTTTCATATTTAAATTTTTAATATTTTAAAATATTATATTTATTATAAAAATATTAATTTTAATTTCAGATTGGATTATTATCGGATTGAATCAATATAGATTCGGATATGATCCATTTAATAAATGGGTTAACGATTCGAATCATAATTGGATTCGAATAAAAAAAATTATTTATCATATTCATTTAATTACATCGATTTGAATCAAATTCCGGTTAAGATCCGATTCATTTACATGCCTATCTTTACAAACCTATCCATGTGCATTGTGCATTGTAACTTATGTTTATTGTGTATTTTTTCTGTACAAGGGGAAATTTTTATGATTTATTGTCTATTTTTAAGCATTTATATACGAGTTTTATTCAATTGTATTGCACTTTGGTCTCTTGTGTTTTTAAAAACTTTTATTTCGATTTCTAACTTCATTGGTATCACGATTTGGTCTCTAGATACAAAGAGGAGAGAGAAAGCCATCTCTTGATTCGATTTTGACTGCTTTGGGATCCTTTTTTGCTTTTTAATTGTTTATCTTGGAGATGAGATTTTGTTCATAGTAGTTCTAAACTATAAAATCGTTAAAAGATGTAGATCAGATTCCAAATCCATTTGAATTTTTGGATTTGATTTTTTTGTTAATGCGATTGGAATGCATTTTAAAATTCTAAATGAACTTGTTGATCTTATTTCAGTAATTTTGAGGTGTATTGAAGCAAAGGTTATGCTAAAATTAAGTTTTAAAGGTATGAAACTAGACTCTAGATTGAATTCATCAGAAATTACAGGTAGCAACGTGCCACACAACACAAGTGACTAGTCGTGTAATTGTTTTGTTTTTTTGTTTTTTTGTTTTTTTTAAAAAAAATTGGTCGTGCAACACAAACCTGCTTCTTTAGTTCTAGTTTGATTTTTTTTTGGCCTTTTTTCAACAATTTATTTATAATTGAATTGGGTACAAAAATTATGAAAAACTAACCATTCTTTTTTGTAGGTTTTCCACATAATTTAACGATGATAAAATATATGTGATATATTTTTAGATTTTAGAATAAACATATATGTTATATTATATTACTCTTATTATTTAAAATTAATTTTTTAAATTTGTGATTTTAAAAATTCTCCTTCAATTAATTTTTTTAATTTTATTTGTTAATAACTACTATTTTTTTTTCTATGTTAATTTTAGAATAAAATTTTAGATTCTTTATGTTAATTTTAGAATAAAACTAGCTTGAGGCCCGCGCTCTGCTGCGGGTGCTAGATGCTGAAAATAGGTAGAAATTGTTGTTGTTTATGGAAGGTTTTTTTTTAGATGACCATGCCACGCTCTGTTTGTATTTTATACAGCATAACCTAAATTAGTAATAATTTTTAAAACTAACAATTTTTTTTTGGATGGCCCAATGTGCCAATTTTCTGGGCCATATACAACGTTATGTCAGCATTTCTATAATGCAGCCAAAATTAATGTTTGGAAGTTAGATTTTTTTCCGTACCATCGCTGATAAAGTGGTGGAAGTGATGGCATAACATATTCACAACATGAAAAGGAGCAGCATGTTTGTTTGCTTTGATAGAATATGTTTAAAATGTGATGGCGAACTAATTTAA